GAAAGCTCAAATAAACAAAATCAGAAATGAAAGTGGAGAAATAACAACAGACTCCACAGAAATACAACAGACTATAATAGCATAATACAAAAAACTATATGCCAACAAAATGAATAACCTAGAGGAAATGGATAAATTGTTAGACTCTTACAATCTCCCAAAACTAAGTCAAGAAGAAGCAGACAATCTGAACAGACCAATCACAAGGAAAGAGATTGAAACAGCAATCAAAAGCATCCCAAAGAATAAAACCCCAGGATCAGACGGCTTTCCTGGGAAATTCTACCAAACTTTCAGAGAAGATTTAATACCTCTACTTTTCAAGCTATTCCAAAAACTTAGGGAGCATGGAACACTTCCTAACACATTCTACAAGGCCAGCATCATGCTGATACCAAAGCCTAACAAGGACAGCACGAAAAAGGAGAACTAGAGGCCAATATCACTGATGAACATGGATGCAAAATTTCTCAACAAAATTTTGGCAACCCGAATTCAGCAATTCATCAAAAGGATCATACATCATGACCAAGTTGGATTCATACCAGGGACACAGGAATGGTTCAACATCCATAAATCAATCAACGTGATATACCACATCAACAAATTGAGGAATAAAAACCACATGATCATCTCAATAGATGTAGAGAAAGCATTTGACAAGATCCAACAGCCATTTATGATAAAAACTCTGAACAAAATGGTGATAGAAGGAAATTACCTCAACATAATAAAGGCCATACATGACAAACCCACAGCCAACATCATACTCAATGAGCAAAAACTGAGCACCAACCCCATGAAAACAGGAACGAGACAAGGATGCCCTCTATCACCACTCTTATTCAACATAGTACTGGAGGTTTTGGCCAGAGCAATTAGGCAACAGAAAGGAATAAAAGGAATCCAAATAGGGAGGGAAGAAGTGAAACTCTCACTGTTTGCAGACGACACGATCTTATACACAGAAAACCCCAAAGAATCCATTGGAAAACTTTTAGAAATAATCAACAACTACAGCAAAGTTGCAGGGTATAAAATCAACTTACATAAATCAGTAGCATTTCTATACTCTAATAATGAACTAACAGAAAAAGAACTCAAGAACACAATACCATTCACAATTGCAACAAAAAGAATAAAATATCTCGGGATGAATCTAACTAAGGGAGTGAAAGACCTATACAATGAAAACTACAAGGCTTTCCTGAAAGAAATGGATGGCAACATAAAGAGATGGAAAGACATCCTACCTACACGGATTGGAAGAATAAACATAGTTAAAATGTCCATACTACCTAAAGCAATCTACAGATTCAACGCAATCCCAATCAGAATCCCAACGACATTCTTTACAGAAATAGAACAAAGAATCGTAAAATTCATATGGGGCAACAAAAGACCCTGAATTGCTAAAGCAATCCTGAGAAAAAAGAACAAAGCTGGAGGCATCACAATCCCTGACTTCAAAACATACTACAAAGCTACAGTAATCAAAATAGCGTGGTACTGGTACAAAAACAGGTGCACAGATCAATGGAACAGAAGTGAAAGCCCAGAAATAAAACCACACATCTATGGACAGCTAATCTTTGACAAAGGAGCTGAGGGCATACAATGGAGAAAAGAAAGTCTTTTCAGCAAATGGTGCTGGGAAAACTGGAAAGCCACATGTAAAAGAATGAAAATTGACCATTCTTTTTCACCACTCACAAAAATAAACTCAAAATGGATCAAAGACCTAAAGGTAAGACCTGACACCATAAGGCTTCTAGAAGAAAATATAGGCAGTACACTCTTTGACATCAGTATTAAAAGGATCTTTTTGGATACCATGTCTTCTCAGACAAGGGAAACAAGAGAAAGAATAAACAAATGGGACTTCATCAGACTAAAGAGCTTCTTCAAGGCAAGGGAAAACAGGATTGAAACAAAAAAACAACCCACCAATTGGGAAAAAATATTTGCAAGTCATATATCTGACAAAGCGTTAATCTCCATAATATACAAAAAACTCACACAACTCAACAACAAAAAGTCAAACAACCTGATCAAAAAATGGACAGGAGACATGAACAGACATTTCTCCAAAGAAGATATATGGATGGCCAATAGGCACATAAAAAGATGTTCATCACCACTGATCATCAGGGAAATGCAAATCAAAACTACACTAAGATATCACCTCACAACCATTAGAATGGCAAAAATAACCAAAACAAAAAGAAACAAGTGTTGGAGAGGTTGTGGAGAAAAAGGAACCATCATACACTGCTGGTGGGAATGCAAACTGGTGCAGCCACTATGGAAAATAGTATGGAGATTTCTTAAAAAAATTAAAAACAGAAATACCATATGACCCAGCTATCCCACCACTGGGTATCTATCCAAAGAGCTTGAAATCAGCAATTCCAAAAGTCCCACGCACCCCTATGTTCATTGCAGCATTGTTTACAATAGCCAAGACGTGGAAGCAACCTAAGTGCCCATCAACTGATGATTGGATAAAGAATATATGGTATATATATACAATGGAATACTGCTCAGGCATAAAAAAGAATAAATTTGTCCCATTCACAACAACATGTATGGACCTTGAGGGAATTATGTAAAGTGAAATAAGCCAGATAGAGAAGTACAATCTCTATTTGACTCCACTCATATGAGGAATTTAAACATGTAGACAAAGAGAACAGATTAGTGGCTACCAGGGGAAAGGGGGGATGGGGGTGGACACAAAGCATGAAGAGGTGCACCTACAACAAGACGGACAAACAATAATGTACAACTGAAATTTCACAAGATTGTAAACTGTTATAAATTCAATGAAAAAATAGTTAAGATGGCAAAAAAAGAGGAAATTTTGTAACATTTTTGTTTGAATTTACTTGCTATCAGTTTTAAAGCGTTTGGGTACTCAGCTTTCCATTTTAATAATGTTTCATAGTAAAATGAAGTTTCTCAGTGGAAAAGCTTGGAAATGAATAGGTAAGAAGAGTGCTTGATGAATGGGGAGAGAATGAATTAACGTCCGCGAGAACTTGCCTTTGAAAACTACTTGCAATGTTTCCTTAGCAGTTGATTCAATTTGAGCTTCTTTTAAAAAAATGTAATTACACACTTAGAGAAAGTTTTCAAGAACTGTACAAAGATTTCTGGGATATCTTTCCCTCAGATTCCCCAAATATGAACATTTTACTACATTTGCTTATTTGCTTTATTCTCTCGTATATACCTTTTTTTCTGAATTGTTTAAAAGAAATTTCAGACATGATATCTCTTTCCATACTTCAACATCTTTTTTCTCACACATAACCACATTAGAGTATCAAAATCAGGAAATTAGCATGGGTATAATACTATTACTTAATCTATGTAGCTTATTCATATCTCACCAGTTGTCCGAATAATGTCTACTTAACAAAAGAAAATCCAAGATTATGTGGTGCATTCAGTTGCCAGATCTCTTTATGAGTCATGCCAGTCCTCTACTGAGGAACTGTTCCTTGGTCTTTCTTTGCGTTTCATGACACTGACATTTTGGAAAAGTGCAGGCCAGTTATTTTACAGAATGCCCCTCAATTTGAGTTTGCTAATGTTTTCTCATGGTTAGATTCAGGGTAAGCACCTTTAGCAGAAATACTAAAGAAGTGATGCTGAGTTCTCAGTGCATTATACAAGGAAACAGAGGCTGTCAATTGGTCCCAATATTGGCAATGTTAACTTAATTATTAAGCTATTTCTCTACTGTAAAGCTATTATTTTACTCTTTATAATGAATAAATATTCTGCAGGTAGATACTTTGAGATGATGTAAATATTCTGTTTTCCTCAAACTTTCACCCACATTTTTACCATCCACTGATGATTCTTGTCTGAATGACTTATTATTATAGTGATTAAAAATGGTAATCACTACTTCCATTATTCCTTTTACATTTATTAGTTGGCTTTCTACAGTATCAAAGAGTTTTTCTTCTCCCCATTTATTTGTTGTTCTTGTTTTGTAATTTATATTAGCGTGGACTCATGGATTGTTACTTTATTCAATAGTCTATTATTCTTTTTTATCAGTTTTTTTTTTGTTCGTTTGTTTGTTTTTAAATTTTCATGCTTAGACTGTCCCCAATTTAGCCCGCAGGAGCTCTTTCAAGCTTGGCTCTTTTGACATGTGGCATCATTCTTTGAGCACTTCCTGACCTTTCAACACAAACTGTTCCAAGCACATAGTGCACTTTGCCTGCCCCAGCTTTGGGGTGACCCACTTCTCCAATGAACTCTGGTTCTTTTTGGTGAGAATGGTATTCAGAAAATGAGATCTGGGTACTAGAGTGCTGGATGTGCTCATTGCTACTAGGATATCATTGTTCCTAGGCTCTCTCAGCTGATAACTAGAAAATAAATATACTTATACACATACACACACACATCAAATATATATTTACACATACACATCTATAGAGATTTTTCCTTACTCTTTTTTTATAGCTGTATAGCACTCCATTGTGTGGTCCACCATAGTTTACTCAGCTAATGTTCTGTGAACTGGTAGATTGAATTGCTGTCAATGTTTTTCAACTACAAACAATTCATCAATGAATAACCTTATGCATATGTATGTTCATATAATGGAGGTAGGGATGTGTCTTCAGGGTAAGTTCCTGGTTTAGGATTGCTGGGTCAAAAGTATATGCATATGTACTTAGGCTAGTCATTGCCCAATTCCCCTCCAGAATGGTTGTACCAATTTGCATTCCCATTAGCAACGCATGGGAGTCCTTGTTTCCCCACAGCAAGTCTGCAAGTTGAAATAATTTCAAAAAAATCCAAAATCCTAGAGATCCATTTATATTACCCAAACGTATTTTAAATAAAGATCCACTTAAACTTTTCATAGAAATGCCTAAAGGATACTATCAAGGAGTTTAGCAGTTGCTTTGGGCATGTTAGAAGGCTAGCAGATTACAGAAGAGAAAACTTTCAAGAAAATGTGCAAACACTGTTTGAAAAAAAGTAAAATATTTTAAATTTTTTATTTTCTCACACAGTTATACATCTTCCGGATGATCCATTTAGCAGACAGCTCCGGACAGACAGAAGGTTTCTCTCAATGTGTAACACACTGCAGTTTTCCACAATGGTGGCATCAAGCCTTTTACAATTTTTTCACCTTCAGCTGCCTCTTCATCATCCCTCTTCTCTTCATGTTGATCTGCAATGCAAAAATCATCTTCACCCTGACAAGAGTCCTTCATCAGGATCCCCACAGTATGTATTCCTTAGACTTGGTGTTAATTGTGAGCAAACAATTTTTAAACAGCAATACTCAAAGCAGAGCCTCACTATGTGTCAGACACCATTCTAAGCAGTTTATACAAATTAACTCATTTAATATTCACAATGACCCCATGAGGTAATACTTTTATTATACCTTTATTACCCCCTATTTACAGATAAAGCAATTTAGTATCTCCTAATGTTCTAAATTTGCACCATGGAACTAAAGATGAAAGGACAATTACCCCATTTACCCAGTATAAGCATTGGCAAATTGTTCCTGCAGGGCCCATCACAACACTATACCCAATACCCGATTTCTAGAACATAGCAAAGTACCACTTATTAAATAGTAGCCAATAGATTTATTAAAGTTAAGCTGCTCTGTTTCACATTCAAATCCCCTATGTCCACACAACATAACTATGCACATTTGTGTGTATGTGGGGGTTGGGTATGCGAAATATTATTGAATATGTAATTGACTTTCATTTGAAACTTCACCGATGTAGTTGCGCCTTTTTCGCTTCAGTAATCCGGTGCATTCTCAAAAACTAAAATTTGTGAATTTACAAAGTAAACATGGTTATGTTGCCATGATATCTGAAAGACATGTTATCAACAGCAAAATGCATAAGTTTCACCTGATACAACTTAACAGGAAAATCATCTTAATTATTATGGTGTGATTACTCTCAGGAGATATTTTCAAAAGGAAATAATTACAGTGATGCTTTATAGTAGATACTTGGGCAGTTTGCACCTCCCAGCATAAAATGCATTTGGTATTTCCTAAAAAGAATACTGCAAAAATTATTTGCCTTCAAAATCTTATCCTAGAGATATTCAGTTCTATAAGGGATGTCTAAGAAGGGCACATGGAGAATAAGGAGATAGATCCCAAATGGGGATTAATCTGAAGAAATGTGAGTGATGCAAAAGCAGAAAAACAAAAAAGCAGAAGCAAGGAGCAATAGTGAAATATTACTAACACAGAGTTAGTCATTTAATCTTTTATTTATTCAACCAATACATACTGACTACTCCATATTGCTGGAAACGGTGATAGATGTGGATACCATGGTGAATAAAACAGCCTAATAACTATACTGCTTTTCATGGAGTCTACAGTTGAAAAAGTCAGACAGTAAACAGTAAACCAATAATGAAATATTTCAAAAGAGGTAGAAGCACAGTATGTTGTAAGAGGTTCAATATTTTTTCAGAATGAGCCACTGTGCCAAGCCAAGATGCTTTTTTAAGTAAGTTGACTTCTTTTGACTGCTTTATTACTTATATGTTACTAATGTTTACAGATATTGAGGATTAGATGAAATATTATATGAAAAGAACAAGGCCCATAGCAAGGCACATAGTCAACGGTAATTAGGTTTGTATGACAAAAAAATCTATAAGTAGTCTGTATTCAATAAATTATTTAAGACTTCTAGTCTAAAGTTAATTTTATGTTAAAATATCATGCATGTAATTATTTTCCTCCATATTTCCACTCTTTTATGATCAATGAATCGTTGGAAAAATAACTATTTCTGAATAGCACCATCTATGTCCCTCAAAAAAATATGGTATGTGAAGAGTATTTTTTATTTTAAAATAGTAGTTCTGGATTGTGAAAAACAAGAACAGATTTTGAGTACTTTAAAACTGCAGCTTTTTACTTTTAAGAACTAAGTCATAAACTTCATGTAAGCAGCCTGTTAAAGTCAGCAATTCCACTAAATTCCAGTGAATTTCCTCACAAGGGAAACAACCTACGAACTTTAAAGGATGTATCAATATGAAAAGTGAAATTGTTTTGGATATCACAGAGAGAAGCATATGATTGAGAAAGAGAATCTGGGGCAGCACACTTTCATCCATGCATGATTTTCATTATCCTTACTGTCAGAGATATTCAGATAGTGAGTATTCAGGAGTTCTGTGTAAACTCAGAATTCAGCTCAGCTTAACCTCAGTCTACTCTCTTAAATTTATATTTTAAGAGTTTGAGTACCTCCATATCTCAAATCCAAATTAGTTTGATGGAAACTCAACTTTAAGAGCAATATATGTTTAATTTTTTTACTCATTACGTAACTTAGAGGAAAACTTGGAATATAAACATGATTTTCAAACCAATTATTATTATTAAAAAATATTGGAGGGGCGGGCTCCGTGGCCGAGTGGTTAAGTTCGCGCGCTCTGCTGCAGCAGCCCAGGGTTCGGATCCCGGGCACGGACATGGCACTGCTCGTCAGGCCACGTTGAGGCAGCGTCCCATGAGCCACAACTAGAAGGACCTGCAACTAAGATATACAACTATGTGCGGGGCGGCAGGGGGGAGGGGAGTTGGGGAGATAAAGCCGAAAAAAAAAAAAGATTGGCAACAGTTGTTAGCTCAGGTGCCCATTTTTAAAAAAAAAAAATTGGAAATTTGCTCCCATTATATTTTTCAGTTTGAATTGGGATTCTGTCTTCGTTTTTGTCCATTTTGGTTTTGTAATAAAACTGGTCTTTAAACACCTCCTGTTTTCTCTATCTAATAGAACTACAACTGAATCAATCCAAGAACAATATACCAAGAGCTCGGCTGAGGACCCTAAAGATGACGGTTGCATTTGCCACTTCATTTACTGTCTGCTGGACTCCCTACTATGTCCTAGGAATTTGGTATTGGTTTGATCCTGAAATGTTAAACAGGGTGTCAGATCCAGTAAATCACTTCTTCTTTCTCTTTGCTCTTTTAAACCCATGCTTTGATCCACTTATATATGGATATTTCTCTCTGTAATTGATACATCACACAGGAAGTCACGTAAAGAAGAGCAAGTTAATGAATTTCCTCATTTGGGAATGATAAACACAAAGGTTGTAGCACATTTACAATAAACAAAGCAGAGTTTGAAATTATGTTATCATTCTTACTCTTTTAGAAATCACATTTTCAGAGACTCAAATACAAGGAAAAAAATTTCAGAAAAAATAATGAAATATTTCCCTATAATCATAAGCTTCTAGATTAATCTGCCCCCTTTCTGAGCTCCTATAACACATTATGTGGGTTTCTTATCACTTTCTCCTTGTATAATAATGTACAAATATTTAAAATAGCCATGATAAAATAGCTGTAAGGCAAAGAGATTCCAAAAAGTAAGGCTGAGAAACTACAACACAGTCTTAACCTAGACATGCCTTGGAGGGTTCTTTCCAAGGGGTTTAGCAGCAATTACGATCTTATGCTACAATAATACATAGAGCACAGAGACAATATTTCCCTTGTCCATAAGATCAATTTTCCCTCACGTGGTTTAAAAAAAATGATGCAATGAATCTAATTTTTTCTTTGGCTTCAAAAGCATTCTGATGTTTGGAGTATTCAGCAACCAACCCACCACGCACTCCACCAACCTGACAAGACTTACAAGCAGTTCTCCTTCGTCCCATTCCAGACATGGTGAGGTTGTGAAGTGCCTTCATATAAAGAGGAGTTTTAGAGGGGTTAGCATTTGGACGGGGGTTAGAACATTCCTCTTGGCTGGACCGTCCATGGAGTTTGTGGTAATTTACTTTAGTATTAATAACATTTTTTTAAATACAGTCTAGAAAAGATCTATACTAATTATGTTTTATACATAGTATATTCTATGTTTTAATAGGAGATTTTGTTCTATTTCTGATTTCACCAAATCCATAATCCACAAATCACTGAGAAAAATAAAGAAATCAAGCAAATACACAAGCGAAAAGATGTTGATATGTAAGAGGAACTCTGAAAACTACAGTTTAAATATATACAGGTCAAAGAAGACAGCAGAGTATTGGAAAAAGGAAAAGAAAAACTCTGTAAATGTGTAACTAACACCTACTGATACTCACATTAAGTGGTATGGTTTCCAAAATAGATTAGCCCAATACCTCTTTTAATTCAGGCCTGTTTCTATCCATTCCATGAAAAAGGGGAGAGGATAAAAATAATGGGACTATTATATCATTAAACGAGAAAACTATATATAAGGGACTTAAAAGAAATTTAACCATTATTTAACTTCTTTTTTAAAAAATAGGTAAAGTACCATTATATTCACATGAGATATATAGTGCCACACAAAAGATGAAACATAATTTCCAAATATTCCAGGGAATGTGGAATTACAGAAAGTAAATTGCTAATTAGATTAATGATAGCTCTTTCCTTTCCTTATTTGTCAGTTCTCAGACTTTACGTTTTTTAGTGTGGGGGGGTTTTTTTCCACTCCCTACATTATTTTCTATTTCTGTCTCCATTGGTCCTATTTCTATTATCATTGAGCTCCTTCCCTCTACTCTTTCATTCATATCTTCTTTATTACTAATCTCATACGTTTAATTAACAAATCCATGGCCCAAATCTACAGTTGGATTGGGCAAGGCTCAAAATTCATAATGTGCTAAAATGCTCAAAGTTAACTTTAAAGCATATATTGATACCAAGATTTTATAGTTCTGCTAGATAACACAGGAATGTAGATAAGTCAGAACAAAACCAATCTTCTCCAAGTAACTTTACCATATAATCATTCCTAAACTGATAACAGTTCTTATTTCTACATTTAAAGGCAAAAATAACACCTATATACAAGATACAATCTCAGGGCTTTATTAAATATGTTTAATGAATATATCTCAGTTTGGCTCTTATACGTTCAAGAAACTGTTCTACTTAGGTATGGTCTCAGACATTTTTTGATACATTAACTAAAGGGTTTTTCAAAATCTTGATGCAGGGCTCTTCAACTTATGGTTCATGCGCAAAACTATATTTTAATGCAACTGCTTTTCTTTTATTCCTATTTTTATTATTTTATGCATTTAAAACATTATCCTGAAAGGGGTTTATAGGCCAAACCAGACTACCAAAGGCACCCATGTCACAAAAACGGTTAAGAATCCCTGACT